AAATATCAAAATATGGATGTCAAACGAAGGAGTGTTAAGAGATCTTTGGTTTGAACGCTAACAATATTTTTGAGGTGTTGGAAGAGGGTTACCACCTGTTTAAACAGTGAAATTCAAATTATTTTATAAGTTAAATGAATTATTAAAATATCGGTATCAATTGAAGGGAGTTTGAAATTTTTTATTTCTGAACTGTATTTAGCGAGGTTGCCACATGTTTGAAAATTTAAATTTCACTTAATTTATCAGTTAATTAAAATATGTATCGCAGTATCCGGCGAAGGAGAGTTAGCAATGATTAAGCTTGAAAATACTTTTGAAGAGGGCTGCCACCTGCTTGAAAGGTCAAACTCAATTAAACAATTCAAAAAGTATATGAAATATAAAAATACCGTAGTCCAACGAAAGATGGTTAAGAAATCTTTACTTTGAATACTTCGAATGTTTGAAGAGAGTTGCCACGTGTTTAAAAAGTTACATTCAAATTATTCAGTAAGTTGAATGAATTATTAAAAGATGGGTATAAATCGAAATGGGTCTCAAAGGTATTTATTCCTGACCTTTATTTAGGAGTGTTGGCCTTTGTTCGAGCAATCAAATTTGAATTAGTTCATCAGTTTACTTTCGAAAAGGAATTTCAAAAATGAGAGGTCAAATCCTAGACCTTAGCCTGTAGATACATATATGTATGATAAAGTTTTATTTTTTTAATTAAGAACTTTTTTCATCGGTATAGGTTAATTTGAAATTCGATGAAAATAAAAACATGCACTATGCGAGTCTGCTCTTCACTCAGAAACGGCTGCACGGTTTCGATGAAATATGGCATTCGGACTGGCATTGAATTTTGGGCGTTTTAACGCCATGCGGGTTCACTAGTAACTTATATTGCGGCTTGGTCGGCAGAAATCATAATTTCTAATCTGATAGTTTAGCAATTAAATAAAGCGATCTGAGAATAGTTGAATCTAATTCATGTACACACTGTACGTACCTTATCAAAGCATTATACGGCGTGATATAAAAAATATGTGCAAAAAAATCGACTCCATTCTATATAGTCACCGATAAAAATGATATGAGCAGTTTAATAACGAATATAATAGCGAAACATTAATAAAAAATAAGCTATCATAATGTACGATATTCAAACGATGCTGCACAAAATCGCATTAACTCTCCAACACCAGCTTAGCGCGCTCATTAGCTCCTCAGTATCCGCACAGAACACTTGTGAGCGCGTGGACTTCTATGACTTCGCCGCACCTTCATCCGCGCTTGATATATGTCGACCAACAGACGCGCCAAGCTGGAAACAGGCACATGCACTATACAAACGCTACTATGCGCTGCTCATGCACCACATCTGGCCCACACTGCTGCTCGCGATGCAGCACTGCTACGATGCCTATCAGAATACTGTGGAATATTGCAATGCATGCAGCACCCAACTGGTGCGTTGGACCTCACTGCTCGCCAGTGATCCGCTATTTATGTTCGCGATCAAATTTTGCGCGCTATTGCTCTTCCTCTTCCTCATGCATTGGATTAAATCAGCGAAAGCGCCGCCCGCAACTCCAACGGCGGCGACATCACGACTCTTAACTGCAGCTGCAACGAATTTGCCGCCTATAACCGCCGAAGATCGCATTGAGGTACTGGAAGTGGATGCTTTAAATGGTGATACCACAACAACACCAGCGTCTTGTATTACACCCACCGTGACGCGGGAATTGGTTTGTGATTTCAATTTTGTATCGCCGTCAGAGTTGCGCGCTGCGCTGGAGGCCGCCAATCAGCGGATGCTTGAGATTGAGGAAAAGCGTCGCCGCAAACGCATCACCAAGAAACGTAAATGCGTTTCAGCGGGTCCAATATTGATTGCGATCCGTTCGAAGAAGACGCATCACAAGCATAAGAAAGCGCGTGAGGAGGAGATGAAATTGAAGCAGCAGTTGGAGTTTAAACAGCAGCAGCTGATACATCAGCAACAACTCGAGCTGTTGACACCACCAAATGCCTCACCAGCGCGTCCGATATATCTGTCGCCGTCGCAGGAAGATGACAACTTCTTGCCAGTTCGTTTGAAGCCGTTGGCTGTGGGTGGCGCTGCATTTGAAATCGAAATGGATGCAGAAATGGAAGCAGAAATTGTATCTTTGATGTGTGTGTGTGTGTTTGTTTATGTGAGATTGCTCTCCGATTGCTTGCTATTAGCGAGTAGTGCTTGGAAATTGTGTTTGGATTTAACTAAATAATGACAGATTTCCATTTGGTAATGACAAAAAATATTTTTAATTTAAAAAATGCATTGTGGAAACGAAATTAAGGACTATTTTTTAAGTGCCCGACTTTTTAATGCCCAACTTTGTCATTCAAATTTGTGTCATTTAATGCCTAGTGGAAATCCGGCATAAGTTTGTAATTTTGGTTGATCGGGTATGCAGTTTTGTAGCGAATGCAGTTTTAGTGGAAGTTTCAAGTGGCCGTAAAATAGATTGATTTTGCCGAGGTTTTCTGACATTGTCCCGAAAGAACTCGAAACACTTTAATAACTCTTGTCTGCTGCGCAAAAACAGTGTTAAACCCAGCAAGGCCGAAATTTTACTTTCCTCCACCCTTTTTAAAATGAGTTTTTTTCCCTACTCTCCGCCGAAATTCTTTTCGTTATGGAAGACAATGCTGTAAAGAAAGATTTTGAATCGTTTGACGAAAACCATTACTGCTTTATAGGGCTGCAAGACAGCTCTGTGGGGACGATAGTGTCTAAAGTCGCACATAGTCCGATTATCCAAAAGTATAGTCCGACTATCGAAAAGTATGGTCGTTGCTTGGTGGCCATCGTTAGACAGGCGAAAACTTCGAAAAAAATGGAATAATTAAAATTAGGAGTTAGTATGTTTAAGTGTCTACTCCCAGTAAAACCCCATGACTTCTTTAGATCTTCTTCCTAAATTTCTAGTTTTGCACTTGGATCCTTTCAAGCAATGAAAGGGAAAGCTCTAAAGAAGAATACTCAATATTTTCTATTATTTTTTACAGATGGCTTAAAGCTATTCCAAACATTTTTCCATGAAATTTTAGTCTTCGGCGTCCGATATCTGGGTCCGTGGAGCAATAGGACTATTCAAATTTTACAGTGGTTTAATAGCAACTTTCAAAAGGTAGAAAACGATATCTCATATTTTTTGCGGCGAGATTTTCTCTAAAATTTTACAATCTTAACAATTGTGGCTATGTTTGAATGAAAAAATCTACGTCTCTGTTCACTCTTGTTCATTTCTCCCCTAGTGCAGAGCTATCATTATTAGAAAAAAACTTTGTTTAATGATGGTGTGTGTACGTATGCGGATTTGCCTTAAAAAATGTGGCTCTAATATAACCCCGGCCAGGGTTGCTTAACTTAAAGCTCATTTGAGCTCGCGAATCCAATTCGCCTCAACTCATCATGAATTTTGAGGTCATGTCTTTCTAGATCTTTTGACTTTTTAAATTTTCGCAAGCTCGTGTCTTGTTTTACAAATTTCAGTCGCCTTCTGGTATAGCTAGCGGTTACGTAGGGACAGGAAATTCCAGTTATTTTTTATTTGTTTTTTGTTTTGAGGTTGGGGTATCGCAGTATTTCAGTGACCCATTGGCACCAGGCTAAACCTAGTCAAGCCCCAACATCGAGGGGCCGTCAGAAAGTATTTATTCTAGGCCTTCTGAAGATCTATACATTATCTAGAACCAATTTTTTGTGGTTGGCTCTTCCCCTAATATTTTGATTGAGCTCAGGAGTATTAAGCAGTGAAAACAAGAGTATTTTCCATCTCTGGTACGAAGAATAAAAAGCAGCGCCTTCTCATCTTCGGTTTTATAAATAATCGTTAGAACAATCGTGACCGGGTAAGAGTTGCGAAGGGTAGTGATTTAAGTATCTGTGCTTGTGCGTATACCAATGTTAAGAATTAGGCTTTACGTCCAATGTCATTTTGCTGATTGGTCTCATCTACTTTTCCAATCCGCCAGAGTGTCATGTTTTTTAATTTTCTTCGCCTCAACCGAGGACCGATCGCTTTGCGAACTAACGCGTAGATTGCGTCCTTGGACACCGTGCGATAGGCACATGTTATTTGTAAGGAAGTTTACGTTTAAGGTGTACTTTTTCGCGACCAACCAAACTAGAGCTGCATATGGCATAATTGAGTTTTCTATGTTCGAAATTAGCTGTCGTTTACTCTCCTTTGGACCACCTTTATTCAACATGATTCGGTATAAAGCCCCGTTTCCCCTTGCTGCCTTCTCAGCTGTTGTTTTTAAGTGATCCTTGGTCGTCTTTTTAGAGTCGTTGAGCAGTCCTATATACTTAATATAATACGGCTTTCGTCTACTGACTAGCCAATTTTTAACTCGTTAAAGACTGCTTGGAGAAGAACTAAACGTTTCGCTACATCCACGATTGCAATGTCAGGCAGGTGAAATTTTAGGACGTCGTCGTACATTGCGTTCCAAAGTATTGAGCCATGGAACGCTACCTGCGGAACGCCGCCTGTGGATTTTCTCCTGGTTAAGATTATCTTTTCCAAGAGTTGACCAAATAAAATCGTAAAAATGTCCAAACCCTCGATCAGTATCAACACAACTCTGTACTGCAAAATCTTTGGTGAGTTCAGTTTGTCGGCAATTTTTATTCGTATTGCATCAATTGAAACTGACTCAATCTTGAGGACATCTTTATTTTCAAAAGCATAGAGTAGTTCCCTCTAGTATTAGACAAATTTGAGAAAGTTTTCCCTGGAATAAATCCATCTCTCTTCATCGATGTCTTCTTAATTTGGTTTCAAAATATTTAACGGTCAAGAGTTTATGTATACGATATAATTTTTACTTAATCTTTGATTTTCCAAGCACTACTCAAAATTATAATGGCTTTCATCTGCCCTTTCCTTTTGCAATGCTCTATTTTCGTATAAAAATATTTAGATATTGAAATAATTTTGGTCATCCATCGTTTACAGTTCCGAGCCTCGGGGCACAATGAGCACCACAGAGGAAATTTATCCTGATTCACCGGATAGTAGCCTATATGGTTCGGATGAGGAGCAGGAAGATCCGTCACAATATTGTCGGGGAGGTTATCATCCAGTTATTATAGGCGATATATTTGACAATCGTTTTCGCGTGGTACGCAAACTCGGCTGGGGACACTTTTCCACCGTTTGGCTATGCAGAGATCTCAAGTAAGTTTTGGGAGAGCCAATTTTTTACACATTTTATTTATTTTTTCATTACACTTGCTCCGCTAGAGAGGAGAAATACGTCGCTCTCAAGGTGGTTAAGAGTGCACCGCATTATATCGAAACTGCTGCCGATGAGATACGTCTGCTCGAAGCCATACGCGATGCGGATCCACTCGATATGAAACGTGAACGTATCGTACGACTGCTTAATCACTTTACGATACGTGGCGTTAATGGCAAGCACTATTGCTTGGTTTTCGAGGCGCTTGGTTGCAGCTTGTACAAATTGATTGTGAAGAATAACTATCAGGGCTTAGCCATTGGGCAAGTACGCAACATTATCAAACAAGTGCTGGAAGGACTCGACTATTTACATACGAAATGCAACATTATTCACACGGACATCAAGCCAGAGAATATATTGCTGGTGATCGATAATGAGTCGGTGGTGAATCAGCAAATTGACGATGAGATAGCAAGCTTGCGCGTGAAGGGTGCAGACTTCCCGGATTCATATAGTATGATTGCAGTAGAATGTTGTTAGATTTTTTCTTTTTAATTATTTGATTTTTTTCCTTCAACCACAGTTAGTTCCATTGAGAAGCAAGCGAAGAGCCGCAACAAATGGCCACTTATCGATACGAATGCCTCGACGACAAACAGCACGGGCACAGCTAATAATTCCTCCACTTCATCCACACCTCTGCCCAACACTGCTGTGGCTGCGCTCTCCATGACCGGTGCAACAATATCGGCGCTTAGCAAGGATGATACGAATTCGACATTGAATACAAATACCACCACCTCTTCGTTAACATCTAAATACTCGTCCAGTTTGATAGGCGAAAATGATGGCTTAGGTGGTGGTCGCACGGGTACAGACAGTCCTTCAATTGGCGGCGGCGGCGGCGGCGGTGGCGGTTCAACTTACACGACAACGGGCAATATGAATAATCGTTATCGAGCGGAGAAGAAAATCACTGCCAAGGTAAGTCACTGATCTCCACTAAGTTTTGTAAATTAGATTAATGCCGTTATTCAGTATGCAGTCTCTAGTCACTAATAAATACTTTTCGTGGTGAACATCGATTTTGAGACTAGTTGGTGTTCAGTAAGTTTTCGTATGGCTTTGTCATTTGGCGCCGAGCAGGTCACAAAAAGAAAGATATGGAAAAAAGACAATTGCTTTCTATTTACCCTAAAAAGGCGAAAATGAGATTAGAAAATCACGTTTCATAAAAATTAAATGAAATAAAACAGAATATTTTTCTTTTTAAAACAATAAAGTCTAAAATCTAAAAGAAAATTAAATTAGGAAAAAAACTAAAACAGAAAAAAATCCGCTGCCTGAGTATTCGAAGCCCGGATCTCTCAAATGGTACGCTAGTGCTTTGTGCAAGCAAAATTACATACAGCTGCGAGCAATAAAATAGTAGCAAATTTCAAAATGATATTGTTTGCAACTTATGTTGATTTATTTATTTTTAATAAATTTCATATAAGATATAGTTCGATCTATAACAAAAACCACATAAATAAAAGCTTCAAAGCTTGCACGAAGTTCGCAAAAATTAATGAAATTCAACAAATTTTCATTAAAATTTCAAACTTTTTATTCCGTATTTTTAGAAAATTTCCGAGCATGCAATTGTGTAGCCCATTCAATGTTTTTACAATAAAGTGCAAGTTGTGGTTGTGGAACATTTTCTTCCATATAAAAATAGATTTGGTTCATATGGAAGAAAATGCGCAACACCCTCGACAAAAAAAGTTCTAAAAAATGAAAGGCCACTTTTAGTGACATAAAACTCGCACTTTTTACTTAAATTTAATGGGCTATACAACTGCATATTCGAAAATTTTCTACAGATTCTGAATAAAAAGTTTGAAATTTTTTTGAACAGTTTTTGAAGTTTGATTAATTTTGTTTAATTTTGTACAATCTTTGAGACTTTTACTATGTGTGTTGCTACTATTTCATTGCACGCAGCTGTACATATGTACATACCTTTTCATCAGGTGACTGCCTCTGTTTGTTTTCACCACACATCTTTGGTGAACTTTTTGTAATTTTCTCTTACTGAATACCCGAATCGTCTCTAGTCCCAAAAAGAGTCACTAATTTATAGTCTCAAATTTAGTCACTGACTTATTGCATTCTAAGGAAAATACCTACATATATAGTACATGCTTATACAAAATATTTAAGACAATTATTGAGAAAAAAGCCTGCATGCTTAGTTATGCTTGAAAAAAAAAAACCATAAACCATCCGCTTTCACTAAACCATCATCACTCATATCCCCGACTTTCTTTAAATTTTCAGTTTACTTATTATTTCTTATGATTTTTACGCCTCACTTATGCATCTCACCTGCAAAGCCGCCACCACGTGTCATAAACAACTACTACATACGCAAATAGTAAATTTTCCCTCGCACAAAAATCTGTCATCTCACTTCTTTTACTGAGCGCGCCTACTACTTTGTCAAGCACATTAACGCACTTGCTTTCAATCACGCCCCAATAATTGCTAAACATACTTATAATACTTAAGTATTTAATGGTCGGTCACTCACCTAATATACGCCAACCATTCACCACCACCAACCATTCACCTCATTCACCTCTACCCAGCACCCACCCAGCACTTGCCCCAACACAGTAAAATCACCTGCAAACGTTTGTGTCCAATTCGTTTGTTCCTTTTTTT